CAGAGTGCTGGGATTACAGGTGTGGGCCACTGTGCCCAGCCCCACATTTATATTATAATAAATATAATAATATTTATTATTATTTGATAAATATTTTTGTATTTAAACACCACATGATGTACATATTTGTTTTGTGGTAAAGCTTCAAGCAAAGCTGCAGCTTAGCCCCTTGGCTGTAAAGCACCTCCTTTCCCTGACACGTCCCCCACACTCCTTCCGGCCTCACCCGGGACCCACTACTGTCAGTTCTGTGTCAGGTGTCAGGGCAAGTCTTGTAATCGTGTATTTCTGCATCTTTATGAGACTTTTAGAAAAAAATCTGCAATGATAAATTTCCTTTTATATTTATTTTTTAACTTTAGACTACGTGTGAAGATTTGTTACATAGGTAGACTCATGTCATCTGGGCTTGTCATACAGATTATTTCATCACTTCGGTATTAAGCCCCTTACCTAATAGTTATTTTATATTTACCTTTTTTTCTTTTTTTTTTTTTTTTTTTTTTGAGAAGGGAGTCTTGCTTGTCACCCAGGCTAAAGTGCTGTGGCACAATCTTGGCTGACTGCATCCTCCACCTCCCGGGTTCAAGCAAGTCTCTGCCTCAGCCTTTCAAGCACCTGGAATTATAGGTGCCCACCACACTGCCCAGCTAATTTTTGTCTTTTTAGTAGAGACGGGGTTTTACCCTGCTGGCCAGGCTGGTCTGAAACTCCTGACCTCAAGATCTGCTGGCCTTGACCTCCCAAAGTGCTGGAATTACAGGCATGACCAATTGCACCTGGCTGTTTACCATTTTTTTTTTTTTTGAAACTGAGTTTTTCCTTTGTCACCGAGGCTGGAGTATAATGGCATAATCTTGACTCACTGCACCTCCACCTCCTGGGTTCAAGTGATTCTCATACCTCAACCTCCTGAGTAGCTGGTGTTACAGGTGCCCGCCACCATGCCTGGCTAATTTTTGTTTTGTTTTTGTTTTTGTTTTTTGAGACAGAGTCTTGCTCTGTTTCCCAGGCTGGAGTGCAGTGGCATGCTCTTGGCTCACTGCAACCTCCACTTCCTGGGTTCAAGCAATTCTCCTGCCTCAGCCTCCTGAGTAGCTGGGATTACAGGTACGTGACAACATGCCCAACTAATTTTTGTATTTTTAGTAGAGACGGGGTTTCACCATGTTGGTCAGTCTGGTCTCAAACCTCTGACCTTGTGATCTGCCCACTTTGGCCTCCCAAAGTGCTTGGATTACAGACATGAGCCACTGTGACTGGCCAAGTTTTATATTTTTAGTAGGGACAGGGTTTCACCATGTTGGCCACACTGGTCTTATACTCCTGAGCTCAGGTGATCCACCCACCATGGCCTTCCAAAGTGCTGGGATTACAGCCATGTGCCATCACGCCCAATTGAATTTTAGTTTCTGATTTTTCACTGTGGACATTGTCATTTCTGAAAACATCATTCATGTTCTGCCTCATGTAGATACAAAATGTTACTTGGTGTGTCAATAAAAGTTTCAAACATTTCTTTTTTTTTTTTTTTTTTTTTTTTTTTTTTTTTTTTTTTTTTTTTTTTGAGACGGAGTCTCGCTCTTGTTACCCAGGCTGGAGTGCAATGGCGCGATCTCGGCTCACCGCAGCCTCCGCCTCCTGGGTTCAGGCAATTCTCCTGCCTCAACCTCCTGAGTAGCTGGGATTACAGGCACGCGCCACCATGCCCAGCTAATATTTTGTATTTTTAGTAGAGACGGGGTTTCGCCATGTTGACCAGGATGGTCTTGATCTCTTGACCTCGTGATCCACCCGCCTCGGCCTCCCAAAGTGCTGGGATTACAGGCGTGAGCCACCGCGCCTGGCAAGTTTCAAACATTTTCATAGCGAGAAAGCTGCGTTGATTTTTTGGTTTGTGTATTTCTTTTTTTTTTCTTTGAACACATTTAATAGCTGTTGTGTGTATTTCTTGTATTATCCACAAACACAAGAAATCCATACCATGAGGGAATCATGACCTCTTCAAAAGGTGTAATAAACACAACTGGGAAGACATAATGTGGTGAAAAATCGCTTTCTCCATTTGTCAGAACATTCCCTACAATTAAATCCGTGCTTCTACCTCTCTCCTCTTCTCATTCTCTGTAAAGATAAGAACGCCTCCCATAACTATGTGGTTAAAATGTGTTTTTATTTCAGGGTCCATTGACATTCAGGGATGTGACCATAGAATTCTCTCCGGAGGAGTGGAGATGCCTGGACCCTGCTCAGAGGACTTTATACAGGGACGTGATGTTGGAGAACTACAGGAACCTGGTCTCCCTGGGTGAGGACAACTTCCCTCCACAAGTAGGGATGTGCTGTTGCTTATCTTTGTATTTTCTCTTGTTGCCTCTTGGGAGCCGCGTCCTTGCTTGACTAAAATGAAAGCCGTATTGATTTTGAAATGAAAAGCTTCATGATGCAGCATCTGGACTTTAACTGTCCCCTCTGTTTAGATGTTGTGCATTCTTCATCATACCTCACGGGGGTTTCCAGAAATAAAGTAGGCAAAAAGCTGATGGCAGGCCAGGTGCAGTGACTCAAGCCTGTAATCCCAGCACTCTGGGAGGCTGAGGCTTGTGGATCGCTTCAGTTCAGGAGTTCAAGACCAGCGTGGCCAACATGGTGAAACTCTGTCTCTACCAAAAATACAAAAATTAGCCAGGCATGGTCATGCCCTCCAGTAATTCGAGATACTAGAAAGGGTGAGGAAGCAGAATCGCTTGAACCTGGTAGGCAAAGGTTGCAGTGAGAGTAGATCACGCCACTGCACTCCAGCCCAAGCTACAGAGCAAGACTCTGTCTCAAAAAAACAGAAACAAAACCTTCTGGCAGACTTTAAAGATATCCAGTTCCCTGTGTGTTACTCCTGTGCTTTTTATTCAGTAGTTCCTAGAAAGAAGCTTGATTTCCACATATTACAATGCTCTCTAAGCATTCCTAAGGAGGCAGTCAGTGGAGGAGTGTGAAATATTTTCCTCGATCCATCTGGAGTGTCTTCTTTTTTTTTTTTTTTTTTTTTTTTTTGTTGCGGGGGTTTTCTCTTGTTTTCCAGGCTGGGGTGCAATGGCGCGATCTCGGCTCACCGCAACCTCCGCCTCCTGGGTTCAGGCAATTCTCCTGCCTCAGCCTCCCGAGTAGCTGGGACTACAGGCATGCGCCAGCATGCCCAGCTAATTTTTGTATTTTTAGTAGAGACGGGGTTTCACCATGTTGACCAGGATGGTCTCGATCTCTTGACCTCCTGATCCACCCGTCTCGACCTCCCAAAGTGCTGGGATTACAAGCGTGAGCCACCGCGCCCGGCTGGAGTGTCTTCTTTCCTAATGAAACATAGGGCTGCGATGCTAGAAAAGCTCCAGCGCGTCATGTTTCTTTTTTTTTTTTTTACAAGCAGGAGTCTCTTTCTGACCTGTCGTCTCCATGATGAAGCCAGGGAAAGAGCCCTGGACTGTGGAGAGTCAAGTAAAAATAGCAGAAAAATCTAGATGTGTGGGATGTATTGCAGGTGTAAACACAGTGGGAGCTCAGATGGGCAGAGTGGAAGCTACACCTTCAAATAGTGTGTGGGGATGTGTGGCCATAAAAAAGGATGAGTTCATGTCCTTTGCAGGGACCTGGATAAAGCTGGAAACCATCATTTTCAGCAAACTGACACAGGAACAGAAAATCAAACACTGCATGTTCTCATTCATAAGTGAGTGTTGGACAGTGAGAACACATGGAGACAGGGAGGGAAACCACACATTAGGGGAGGGATAGCAGGGGGTGGGGGACTAGGGGAGGGATAGCATTAGGAGAAATACCTAATGTAGATGACGGGGTGATGAATGCAGCAAAGCACTATGGCACGTTACCTTTGTTACCTTTGTAACAAGCCTGCTTGTTCTGCACATATACCCCAGAGCTTAAAGTATAATAATACTAAATAAATATACGAAATACATAAATAAATAGTGAGTGAGGAAACTCTCTGCAAGCAGGAAAATTCTGTGGGAAAAGGAAAGCTTAAATTCTGAGATCTCTGAATGGACATCTTTCTTTGTCCCCACTTGTCCTTCTGTTTGCTATTTATTTATTTATTTTTGAGATAACGTCTTGCTCTTTTACCTAGGCTGGAGTGCAGTGGCACAATAGTTTACTGCAACCTCTCCTGCCTGGGTTCACATGATTCTCCTGCCTAAGTCTTTCAGGTAGCTAGGACTACAGGTGTGCACTACCGCCACACCTGGCTAATTTTTGTATTTTTAGCAGAGACAAGGTTTCACTATGTTGGCCAGGCTGGTCTCGAACTCCTGACCTCAGGTGATCTGCCCACCTGGACCTCCCACGGTGCTGGGATTACAGGTGTGAGCCACTGCGCCCAGCCTCTCTCTCTTCAGATGTGCAGTAGTTTGATTTTTGGGCATTCTAGTGATGCTGCAGCTCAGAGACAAAGGCAGAGTCTTTATCCATGTCACCTGGCTTCTGTGACCTCTTTGGTTTCTTGCCTCTGTGGCACAGGGAGGGCTGTCAAAGGGTCTCTTCCCCTTGTGGTCTCCTCTGTACTTGATTCCATCTGATGCTCCATTCTCTGTCCCTATAGCTCAGAGCTGAGGCCTCCATGCACCTATCTGCCCCTTGACCTATTCAGATTCCATCCCATTTCCTGTACTCGCAACACCCAATCAGGAGATGGGAAACATGGGCTGTTCCATTTTTGCATCTGGGGCCTATAACAATGCCCAGAGCTTTCTCTGCTTGTTTAAATCATCTACTTGTCTATTTGGAAGAAAAAAAAAAAAGGCTACATACAGTGGCTCATGCCTGTCATCCCAGCACTTTGAGAGGCTGAGGAGGGCAGATCACTTTAGGTCAGGAGTTTGGTGAAACCCCATCCCTACTGAAAATGCAAAAAGTAGCTGGGTGTGATGGTGTGTGCCTTTAATTCCAGCTACTTGGGAGACTGAGGCAGGAGAATCTCTTGAACCTGAGAGCTGGAGGTTGCAGTGAGCTAAAATTTCACCCCTGAATTCCAGCCCGGATGACAGAGCAAGACTCTGTCCCCCTGCCACACACAAAAAAAATCAGAAATGCTTTTCCTACTCTCACATGCCACCTTGCACAGAATGCCTCAATTCTGATCACCAACATAAGTGGATTTCTTCCCAACCACATCCAAATCTTGAATGGACACAAACTGAATTTCTTGTGGTTTAATTCACTTCTGACACTGTCTACCTGGAGTTAGAGTCAGATCTCACAGGTGAAGGGTTGAGTTCCCAGGCCGGTAAGGGCGGCCCCCGACCTCAGATGCCAGTTGCAAGTGTAAATTGTCACATGTTCCTCTGACCAACCAGCTGTGAGTTGGGTTCCCTCAACCCCTTTCTTGGGTTTGATTGCTTTCTTTTTTTTTTTTTTTAACATATATATTTTTACATAAAGACAGGGTTTCACCATGTTGGTCAGGCTGGTCTTGAACTCCTGACCTCAGGTGATCCGCCCACCTTGGCCTCCAAAGTGCTTGGATTACAGGCATGAGCCACCACGCCCAGCCAGGTTTGATTGCTTTGCTAGGGTGGCTCACAAAACTCAGTGAAACACCTTCTTAGGTTCATGATAAAGAATGTTTCACAGGACACAGAGGGACAGCCAGATGAGAAGATTCACAGAGTGAAGCACTAAATTCAAAATGAATAGTCATTCTCTGATATAACAGTTCCACACATTATTGATATAAAACAAAGAACACAAAGACTATCATAAAAAATAGGAAAATGAGTCGTACTCAGTAGCTCATGCTTGTAATCCCAGCACGTTGGGAGGTCAGGTGAATCATGAGGTCAGGTGTTTGAGACCAGCCTGGCCAACAGCGTGAAACCCTGTCTCTACTAAAAATACAAAAACTAGCTGGGCGTGATGCCCCACACCTGTAGTCCCAGCTACTCTGGAGGCTCAGGTGGGAGAATCACTTGAACCTGGGAGGTGAAAGTTGCCGTGAGCCAGTATCATGCCACTGCACTCCAGCCTGGTGACAGAGGAAAACTCCGTCTCAAAAAAAAAAAAAATTAGAAAAATGATTATTAAATCAATAAAATCCAAGATCATGTGTAATATATAAAAATGTACTGGATGAACGTAGAAGTAGCTTAAACAAATAACCGTGAACTTAAAACCAGAGGCGTCTTTGCAGTGAGCTGTGCTCTACACAAGGACTGTGGGGAGATTCACGGGTGTGCCGTGCCCCAGGCACCTGCGTGTGTTCAGCATTTGGAAGCTCTCATTTCCCCATAATTTAGGGATTTGCATGGAGGCTTCACCACGTAGTCATGATGATATTAACTCAGCCTCCAGCCCCTCTCCCCTTCCTGGAGGATAGTGGATGGAAGTGACTGTTCCATGTTTCTAAGCCTGGCCTGATCTTGCTGGAGCTGAGCCCCATCCAGGAGACCTTAGAGGTTTCCTCATTAGGATAAATCACCTTCCCATCACCCAGGACATCCCAAGGTCTTCGGAACTCTGTGTCAGGAATCAGGGAAGAGACCAGTATATGCGTTTCTTCTTATGTCACAAGGTTCCTCAGCCATTCTTCAGTTATGCTTCACCCACGCTACTAGTGTGTGTTACAGAGGAGTAGGTAGATTTTTCTGAGATGGCTACTCAGCCGGGTGGGAAAGAGAGTCAACAGAAAGACCGTATATTGCATCCTCAGGTCCTCTTGGAAGTATAGCTCACTGGAAAGATGCCTCTGGTTTGAAGTTCACTGTTACTTGTTTAAGCCACTGCTACTTTCATCTTATACATTTTTTTTGTTTGTTTTTTAAGACGGGGTTTCACCATGTTGGTCAGGCTGATCTTGAACTCCTGACCTCAGGTGATCCGCCCACCTTGGCCTCCAAAGTGCTTGGATTACAGGCGTGAGCCACCACGCCCAGCCCATTTTATACATTTCTATATATTACAGATGCTTTTGGATTTTACTGATTTAATAATCAGTTTCTTTTTTGTGTGTGATGGAGTCTCGTTCTGTCACTCAGACTGGTGTGCAGTGGTGCAATCTCAGCTCACTGCAGCCTCTACCCACTGGGTTCAAGTCATTCTCCTGCCTCAGCCTCCTACGTGCGATTACAGGTATATACTACCACGCCCAGCCAATTTTTGTGTTTTTAGTAGAGATGGAGTTTTACTCTGTTGGCCAGGCTGGTCTCAAACTTCTGAACTGAAGTGATCCACCAGCTTAAGCCTTCCATAGTGCTGGATTACAGGCATGAGCCACGCACCCGGCCTCTCTCTACTTTTTTATTGGTCAGCTCTCTTGTTGTTTTTTTCCATTATTGAAAGTCGTATGTTGAAATCAACTAGTATTACAGTGGAGCAATTTATTTGATTCTGTAAACATTGGCTTTAAATATGGAGTTCTGATATTCATGCTTATGTATCTCTAGTTCTTGTATATTAATGGTGAATTGACCCTATTATCATGATATAATGTCCTTTCTTGTCTCCAATAAAATAGTTTTGAGTTAAAACATATTTTAGAGGCCGGGCGCGGTGGCTCAAGCCTGTAATCCCAGCACTTTGGGAGGCCGAGGCGGGTGGATCACGAGGTCAAGAGATCGAGACCATCCTGGTCAACATGGTGAAACCCCGTCTCTACTAAAAATACAAAAAATTAGCTGGGCATGGTGGCACGTGCCCGTAATCCCAGCTACTCAGGAGGCTGAGGCAGGAGAATTGCCTGAACCCAGGAGGCGGAGGTTGCGGTGAGCCGAGATCGTGCCATTGCAGTCCAGCCTGGGTAACGAGAGTGAAACTCCATCTCAAAAAACAAAACAAAACAAAACAAAAAACATATTTTAGTTTTGCCAGCTTTGCTCTCTCTGGATGACAATTGCTTGGGATATTATGTTTTATCTTTTGTGTTATTTTCTGTTAAAAAATTTTTTAGATACAGTGTCTTGCTCTGTCACCCAGGGTGGAGTGCAATGGTGTCATCGTGGCTCACTGCAACCTTGAATTCCTGGGCTCAAGTGATTGTCCTACCTCAGCCTCCCTGGGTAGCTGGTACAGGTGCATGCCACCATGGCAGGCTAATGTTTTAGGTTTTGTTTTCTTTTGTAGACACAGTGTCTTGCGGTGTTGTTGAACTTGGTCATGATCTCCTGGGCTCAAGAGATCCTCCTCAGCCTCCTGAGTACCTGCGATGACAGGCCTCAACCCCCATACTTAACTGTTGGTTTTTATTTTTCAAATTGTAGCATATGTGTGTCCATAGGGCTAATATGAGTCTTCTGTGGACAACGGGTAGTTGGCTCCTGTTGATTCAGCCAGTCTTTTTATTTTGAGTGCAGAGTTAAGTATTTACATTTGAAGTATTACTGATGGAGAAGACCTTACCGTTGCCTTTCTGTTACATGTTATCTGTAATTCTTGTAGGTTTTTTTTTTCTTCCTCATATGCTGCTTTTTGTGTTTCATTGCTTTTTTGTGTAGACATGCTTTGATTCCCTTCTCATTTATGTTTTTATTTTTATTTTATTTTATTTATTTGTCTTTGAGATGGAGTCTCCTCTGTCACTCAGGCTAAGTGCAGTGGCGCAATCATGGCTAACCACAGCCTCTGCCTGCCAGGCTCACATGGTTCTTATGCCCCAGCTTCCTGAGTAGCTGAAACTACAGGTGCCCACCCACTCCCCCCAGCTAATTTTTATGTTTTTTTGTTTGTTTGTTTGTTTGTTTTTTTTTTGAGACAGAGTTTCACTCTTGTTACCCAGGCTGGAGTGCAATGGCTCGATCTCGGCTCACCACAACTTCCGCCTCCTGGGTTCAAGCAATTCTCCTGCCTCAGCCTCCTGAGTAGCTGGGATTACAGGCATGCGCCACCATGCCCAGCTAATTTTTTGTATTTTTAGTAGAGACGGGGTTTCACCATGTTGACCAGGATGGTCTTGATCTCTCAACCTCGTGATCCACCCGCCTCGGCCTCCCAAAGTGCTGGGATTACAG